GCGGGCGCGGTGGGACGTGCGCGCGCGTGTGCGTGCGAGCGATCCTTCCGCGGCGTGACTCGAGGGTCCGGGCGCGGGAGGGGGAGTCTGAGGCGGGGGCGCGGAAGGATACCGCGGGAGACAATCACGACCGCCATGTGCGGGAACTGCGAGTTGGGAGAGGCCGACGGGTCGCCCGAGGATGCAGAACCTCGGACCCCGGGCCGTGGAGGGGAGTGAGCTGCCCAGTCGCACTCGGCACCCTTGGCTCGGCGGCGCCTCAGACGCCTTTGAGTCTAGGAGGTCTGGCGGTGCTGCGCCTCCCCTGCAGCTTGGCTTTGGTGCGGAGTCTTGAACCTTGGTGTCGGATTGCAGAGTTGCCCTGGTGACGGGATTCGGAGCGCTTATTCCTCTTTGTGGCGTGGCAGTTGATGGCAAGGTCGCCCGGCTCAGCCGAGGCGGCCACAGTGGCAGTTCTGCCTTTAAGCCGCCCAGTGGCACGCTCAGACAACCTGAAATCAGAGCTGGCGTTGGCGGCTCTCTGGAAGATTGATGAACTTGGCCATCTGTCTCTGTCACCTCTGTCGGGTACCAGGGCTTTCGCGATCTGTGAGTGCTGGGACGGGAAGACGCCCTCACTGTTGCTGGTCACGCGTGGCTACATTGTTCCTAAACTCGAAACAAAACAACTAGTGGGTAGTGTGAGGTTGGGAACCGGGAAAGTTGCGGGTGGATCGAAGAAAGCGCTAAAAATGTAAAGAAAAAAAGATCTAGAAGGGAGTTCACGGGATGCACAGTCATACGTTTGCTGTCGCAAGGCGAAATAATTTCGGAACCCAGGTCTGAGAGTGGCTTGTATTTACAAAGACGACGGTAGGTAGAGTCAGTGAACGCCCCATGGTCTAGTAATCTCTGGGTTTTAGGACTCGACAGGAATGAGCAGCCGTTTTACAAGTTCAAATTTAAATGAACATGCTCTGCCAATCAGAGGAAAGAAGAAAGCGCCTTTAAGACACTGAAAAGATTGATTTCCAAATTTAAACTTATTGTGTAACAGGAGGGTTGCACGGATGTAATTCAGGGAGGCAAAAAAACGTTGCTAAGCAATCTGTTGTTTCTGAAGTTTTGTATTTTTTCGGCTGTTTGTTTTGGAATGTCCAGCGGCAAGGAGAGAGAGAAAAACGCTGTTGGAGATGACTCAAGACAGGGACCTATCAAGTTGAGACTGTATTTTCTCATGATCTGTTGATTACGTGGTATAAAATGTGCCAGAAAGTGTTGCATTTCTGCGAGAATACCTCCCACCTGATTCAGTTACACTTACTCGTTCTTGTTTACTACTGTGTCTTTTTGTGATTGTCATTCCTTAAAACATTCAGTTTTAGCAGTTTTCCACCTCGTGGTCTATTGTGCTGATAACATGAATAATAACGTTACTTTGTAAGGATTTATCAAGCTCTACAGTAATGATGTGTGTGCAGCTCTTTGTATGCATAAGTGATTCAATAAGTTTAGACAATGAAAGTCCTGAAAAGACAAATAATAAAATTATGATAGTTTGAAATTGAATTTCTTGTATTAATCTGTTGAAGATTTTAAGATCTTGTTTCTATATCTTCGCTATTTTAGTAAGGACTTGGAAATAATCTTCCCTTTTTATTCTTTTACTGCTGCTTTAACAGCAAAGAGATTTGAACAACTGAGTATTTTGGATATGCACATCTCAGTGGAATCTAAAATACATCTATTGGGTAAAGCATCTACAGGAATTCCAAATTTCTTTAATTTTTCAATAATTTTCAAAATAGTATAATACAGTTAACGTTTTTATTTTGTTTTTCTCACATACTGTTATTTTCCCAGGATGGCATACAGTAAAAATTAAACTCAGATATATATATATATATATATATATATATATATCATATAATAGATTGAGGTTTACAGTTTTGAAAATTAAACTCTGATATATATATATATATATATATATATATCATATATATATATATATATATTCCATGTAATAGACTGAGGTTTACAGTTTTGATATTTAGATCATATATTTATGGAGAAATGATCTGCTATTTCATTTAACTGTTGCTTACCCTGGCATATTTCACAAAGCATAAGTAGAGACAGTACAGCGAGTTTTAGAAGTATCTATGTAAGTTAAGCTCAAAGGAGTATCAACATGAGAAAAAGAATTACTGATTTGTATTTTTTTTTTTTTCAGGGTAACATCCCTTGAGTGATGATAGCATTGTCTATGTAGACACAGACAAAAGCATCTTAAGTAAGAATAAAAGAATTTTGAGAGGAATGCATAGTCATGCACTTCAAATTTAAATATGCTGCTACTGATAATTAATGATTATATCATTAATACATCTGTATTTTTTCATTTTTACTTAGGAAACCAGAAACTATGTGGTGTAACAGGCCTTTATGTTGTACTTGAGCCATTTAATCAATTTAGCAGTTTAGCACAATACAGAGAAACAAGAAATAGATGCTAAAGTACATTCAGCCTGATAAATAAAAGTTAGAATGTAATTACTCTAAGTATAGTAAAAACAATTATTATTATTCTCATCAATTAAAATGTTCAACTCCATATTTCATTCTGGGGAAGTTATTTTAATTATAAAAATACTATAGAAAGGGACAAACCTAGGGGCCAGGGGTAACCCTGTTGGTGAAATTTCACCTACTGCTTAAAGCAGGACATGCACAGAGAATAAAAAATATAAGGATTTATTTACATAGGGAGTAAGAAAAAGAAAGAGCTGAGAGAGAAAGGAAGAGAAAATTTATTGGTCAGCATGTAGCCATATACTGTCTGTCCTACTCCATTAGTGTCCACTGAACAGAGACCAGCTTACTGTCATAAGTCAGCTAGTGAGTGGGCCATGCCTGTGTTCTGTTTCTGAGGTCACCATGGCCATACAGGTTGCCTCACAGATTCTTTTAACAGAGGTCTATTCTCTGTTTAAATCACTCACTGGCTCTGAGGTTGTTCCCCATGCTCTTCTCACAACAATTACAACAATCAAGAAAATAGAAAGCAGAGGAAGGTCACCCTTATTCTTATGAGCTACTGCAAGAATATGTTTATTTCTTGGTGTATTTGTGATTGCCGGAGTACAAGAAGTACTTCTGGATTTGTCCGTGTTACCTGAAACTATGAAATTTTGCTTCAGTTTAATTGGATGCAAACAAGTTAAAATGTGTTATATTTTCTTTCTGAAAAAATCAGTAGTAACATTTGTTTATTGCCAATACTGCTTTTGTCTTAAAATCTGTTTTCTGTCCTGTCTCCCTTTTTTCCACCCCCTCCTTTCCTCCTCCACTCTTCCTCTATTAACTTTCCCTTGTCCTTAAATTTAGATACATCTCTTATAAGCTTTACATACATACTTGGGCTTTAGTGTTCCCTTTAAAATTTTACCATGCATATTTAGTAAAACTAAGTCAAACTGTTTTCCCTCCAGACAGTCCAGAAACCTTAGAATACTTTAAATTTGGTTACCTCTTTCCAGATTATTTTATAAAGACTTTTTTGTTCATGTGTATTTATGCATGTCTATTTTATTTACACTCCAGCTTTCTCTATTATTTTATTGCCTTTTCTTTCTTCCTTAAGTAAATATTTAGAGATGCTTTTAACAGATGTCCTTGGTGTTGTCTTTATATCATTTTAATTCTTAAAAAGTTTAGTCAATAAGACTGATACTTTGAAGATATTCTATTCAGAGTGGGTAGAATAAGAAAGTTCCATTTGTTCCACACTGTCACCAACATTTGGTATTATCTTTCTAATTTTAAAAATTTTACTGGGCATTAAATATTAATTTAATTCACAAAATCCAAAGATAAAGCTGAGCATCTTTCAAATGTTTATTAGTCATTTGGTTTCGTTTATGTGATATGCTTGTGTAAGCATTTTGCGATGTAATGATAATAATGTATTTGTAATGATTATGCAGTCATCCATCAAGTGGATATGTCATAATTGTCCTTTGAAAAGTCAGGTAAGTTGAGAAACAGTAGTCAAGGAAAATTTAAGTGTGAAGGTAAACTTTCAAAGGGGTGGAAATGGATAAATGCACTTTTAGAAAATCTCTAATAGCAAGGTTTAAAATACAAAGTATTTTACTTAAGCCAGTTAACCAGATGCATTAGAAATTGCAGGCCTACCTACTTATTATCTACTCTTCTTCCTGGCTAACATAATCATGAATTTAGGTGAATATAGGTTGAAATACCTCTAATAATGCTCTACCAGCTAGGGTGATCATCTGATACATTGGCCAATGAGCAAATACAAAATTTACTTCATAAAATGCTACTTTTCCCTGATAATAATAAAAAAGGACAGATCAGCTAGCAAAAACTTCTGGCCTTTACCCATTTCTCCCCTTTGTCCTGACTGTGATGATTCAGTAGAGAGGTAGAATACCCATCTGTGACTATGCCAAGGATGATGGCACAGGAGGGAGAAAGGACCTCTTTCTCAAATGGCAGCTCCAACCTTGTACCTCCCACATCAGACTCTGACACTTGGTTAAAGTACTATAACTTGTTAAGGCCAATCAATCCTTACTACTTTCCTATCCTTCTTCCAGTGCCTAAATATTCTGAATTAACAAGTGTTGTTTTCCGTAATAGGTTATGCACTTGGACTGCTTTATATCGATTATAATAGTGTTTA